TGGGTACCCCGTTCTCTATTTGCTTCTTTTCGAGTTGGAAAAAGGTTAATATGGTCAAAATTATTAGCTGTGTTTGTTCGTGGTATTATTTTCGAAAATAACTTTGACAAACTAATGGATGACAGTGACGGATTCTATTTCAGGTAAGAATATTATGAACAATAGTTAGACAGCAATTTTTTTGTCAATTTTACTATCACCGCTGTTTGAGATGTATTCAACAAGGATAGAGAAAAATCACGTGACTATAAAATGGTATTTGTTGGACTATAACTAACCATTATGCCCGGTCTGTATAGTTGGACTGGCAGAAAAGGGGATCTTGCATTATTGCAAATCCTTACGATATCTATCATATATACAATATTTCATTATGTAAATTTCTGTAAAGTGCTAATAAAAATATTGCAACTGTAATATTTATCTAAGTTTATAAACAACGTTAAATGCAGGTTTCTGTAAGCTAGCATTTTTAATGTTACAAACGTAATTTATTTTTTATGAATTATCAAGTTTGAGGCGATATTGCAGAAAAGTTTATTCTGTAAACATTCTACACATCAAAAATTCAGCCAAATTCCACATAGATCACTTATCCATAAGAAATGTGCGGGGTCCTTTAAATTCTAAGCTATGACCGCTACACAAAGACCGCTGGTGCAAACAGCTGACAACTTAGTAATGACGTCGGAAATGGTGATACACTAATATGGCGGCGATTACCAAAAAACGAGACCGATCCCTGATAACACAGGATTTTCCTGGGATATCCTGCCAATGTACTATGAAAGTATGAATGTCCCGTACCTTGATAATACATTCCCAGAATGTTTCAGATAGAATATAACTGGAATATTTAGATGTAATATTTAAGGAACATCCCTCAAATATTCCTGTTTCTTTGTTTTGTGATTTCTTATTTATAATTCTCAGCTTAGCAGCATATAAAGAGAAAAAACTTTTAAAAAAATCCCATTGCCAGATTCAGACCAACAAGACCAACGACCCAACTGCGCTTCGTCAGTTCGTCTATCAACCAGCAGTGTTGATTATGACGATACCCATTTTCGACGTTGTCAGATTTCTTTGGATGATTTTATTCCATATAAATATGATGAAATATACCTAGTAGTTTCATAAGTTTTCGAATTTTATATGTAATGTTTGTATATAAAATAGTTATTTTCCTAACAAGTGCGCAAAGTGTTACTTTTCCGCACGCAAACACAGTTATACGAACGACGCGAAGCGGAGTTCGGATACGTGTTTGCGTGCGGAAAAGACACTTTGCGCACGTGTTAGGAACAAAATTTTTCCTACGAGCTTCATATCAGGTAGGTAACAACAAAAATTTAAAAAAAAAACGATAATTTGTTTAATTATTTTTAATTAACTTGAAGGGAACCTATGCATTTATCAAAAAATTACATAACAAAAAAAAAATATAACAGAAAATCATCGTCAGAGCTCTTCATCTTAAAGCGTTTAATGGCGATTTCCATTTGTCATCAGTGCCGCACTGAGTGCATCCGCATCTTTTTCTAAAAGCATGTAACATGTAAGGATAAGGATACATTTTTTTGCCCTGTTTCGACAAATGGAAAATGCTATAAATTTGATGAGATAGTTTGTAGATGCATATATATAGAAAACAAATCTGACAATGTGTTGAAGTTAATTAAATTTGGTGTTTGTAGGTATAGATGTTAGCTGGAACAGGAACAGAGGAAAAATTTGTCATCATGTGTCAAAGTCGACAGGTGTACTTATTGTTGCTTGACAATTATTTTTACTTTTCGGCACTCAGTGCGGATAAGGCCTGTATCCGCACTGAGTGCGGAAAAGTGCAACTTTGAGAACCGAAATGCGTGCGGAAAAGTACTACTTTGCGCACGCTCGTAGGAAAATACAATTAATAGGTTGTATATTTTTTTATATTGGCGATATTTTACTCGTTACACAAAAATAATATACGTGACAACTGGCAACGTCGAACAAAAGCCGCACGTCACAAGCCACGGCACCTCACTTCATATTCATCACAGACAACCTAACCTCACTCCGAAAAAACAAGTCTTTTATTGTTTGTTATTAATTTAGTTTTGTTTTAATTACAAAATAATCGTTTTATCGGTGGTCGGTTTTGAACAATAAAACGTTCGGTGCTTGGTTTGCTCGTGTTTTTATATGGTTTTTCGTAGATTTTTCCACGAATTTCCCACATAATTTTTCACTGGCTCTTCCAATTTTCGAGGTTTCGTTACCTTTTGCATTTTTGTGTTAGGTAAGTACTACATGTAGCCTGTTCAGTAATTTATTTAAGAGGTTTTTAGAGTGCTTACAGTGCTGAAGATGGATCCTACAGGAAAAAAGTATTGTTGAGCAACTAATTATTGTCAAAGGAACAAACAATCAAGTCATTCAGAACCTGATCTACAAGATGAGCATCAGAACCCGAGGCAGCATCCTTTCTCTAGTTCTACGCTCGTTTCTATGACTGAGAGGACATTTTACTTGGCTACTTAAGATTCTATGAAGATTTTAATCAGATACCTTCTACCGTTCTACCTGAACAAAGTATCAGCACGCATTATTACTCTTCAGAAAATGGAACTTTCTAGGAAACTGTTGATGCAAGTGTTGGATGTCAATTTACAATTTATAATTTGAATAATATCTATAATTAATAAACCTAAACAAAAGTGTGTCCCACTAGTTTATTTGTGGGATGTTCTGTGCATGTTCCTCCTATATCCCACAAAAATCCCGAATATACTATGTGGGATGATTGAAGATATTCCAGGAATGATTCAATAGAACATTCCTAGAACATCCATTTTGATGACAAAAGCGTCTCCTGGAATGTTCCAGGAATGTTTCAGGATCTAAACAGAATCTTCCAGGAATATTCTGATTGTCCCAACTAAATATTCTTTGAACATTCCTGGGATGTCTTTGTGTTATTAGGGATAAGCAATCCTTAGTAGTGTGTATTATCCTTGCAAGCAACTTACGTCAAGGCGAGAGCGTCTGCGGATCACACGGAGGCAACGCCACGAATACAGCGCCCATAACGTTTTTGCTGCTTGTTTTTTGACGCCTCCGCCTCCTTGTCCTGAATCCTGATTCCTGATGAATATTATTGTTATATTCTAGGATTATTTTGCAATTTCCATTTCGTGAAATATCGATATTTAACTAAAAATTTTAGAAAGACTAATGAGAATTAATTTTTTCGGGATGGGGTATCAAGCGGGACCCGGGTACAAAAAAATAATTGATAAGTATACATGGCCCTTCGCCTTCGCCCTTCACAGTTGATTTGTAGGCTGTATCACAACCAAGCTGTTTTTGTAAGATTTTGAAAGACAGTATTTAATCTAGATTGTTGAATAATAGCTATTTATATAAATAGCATTAAATATCAAGTACAATAAAGAAAGGCTTTATTGTACGAATAATTTTATGACCGAGCGAGCTTGCGAGCGAGGCTATTAAATAATAAGTCAATATTCAATAAAGCCTGTTTATGTGAGCGTGATACGGTGATACCTACGTAATGTTTTAATGCGTTTATGTAAATTTCCATCTCGACGATAAATAAAATAAATAATTATTGTACCATTTTTCCTCTTAACAGTTCCATATTTTATAAACTGTGCTCTGATGGTATCTTGCTCTAATTTTCTTTTCTACTCATTAAAGTCTTCCTTATTATTAAATGTTAAATTCTTGGGGAGGTGAGACTTTCTCGAAACTCCCTCTCATGTCGTTGATAATAAGACAAACTATCGAATTATAAATAATAATTTTGTGTCAAATAAATAAAGAGAAGGTAAACAAAAATGCTAGTGAACCGCCGTTTGTCGCTTCGTGCCAAATTTTAAATTTTCGTTCGTACACTTCCAACCATATTCGTGGCGTTGCCTCCGTGTGATCCGCAGACGCTTGTCACAAGCTACGCAGCGTTGCCAGATATACCATTTAAATGGTATTTATACCATTTTTTCTTTCGTGATACCTGCGAAATTTTTAGGATACCATTTTCCATTTTTCTACCATTTTTTGATGACAGTTACCATTTTTCTACCATTTTTTGCATATCCCATTTTCGATTATAACTCTTTGTTCCTGTGATGTCTAGTTGTTTCACCCAATGATTTTTATGTTTCCTTTTTGCTGTGATTTTTTCCGGGAGCGACTCGCTATTGAGGAACCGGCCCTCAGGATCATTTCAGCTAACCTCATAACGTCATTATTCTAACCGAATTTTAATTTTCAAGGCTAACAGGGATTCGTGGGTTAATCATAAGCCTTGTTCTAACACAGCAAAGAACCGTACATTATACCGTCACGATTCTACGCAAAACCAAAATTTGTGCTAGAATTCGAATTTCGTATACAAAGTGGTTTCGAAACGGTTCTTGGGATGGTTTTTGACGTATCGGAACAGACCTTCAAGAATTAAAATAATAAAGGGCCGGTTTCTCAATAGCATTAAGTCATTCCCGGATTAAGCATAACTCCAGGGTAAGCATTGCAACTGGACACATTTACCATGGAGGTAAAAGCAATCAGGAGGTGACTCACTATTCGCTATTAAGAAACCAACCCAAAAACCCATTTCACGTGGCTCCTGTTTAACAAACCGCAACATACCGCTCAAATTCGAGTGGTACATAGATATCCATCACGTCACTCTGTAACCGGGTTAGAAAACGGTATGTCATTTCTCTAACCCTTTTGTAACCCGGTTAGTTAAACCGGAGCCACGTGAAAAGAACTAAAATATAACAATAGACCCCCTTTCCCCTTTAGGGTGGGTATTATAAAACTGCTTTGACAGTTAACTTTTTGAATTACATGTAATTCCAGAAGTTAACTTTAAGTTAACTCTCAAAGCAGTTCTGTAATACCCGCCCTTAGAATTGAAGATACCATTTTTTATTTTTTCCATCTGGCAACACTGATGCTACGTCACAATTGGTGACTTTTGACTGCCGAGTGCATACAAGTCCCCATCTGTGAACTGAAAACTGCAAATCTTTGATTCATCGGATTTTCGGATAGGATATAGGTTGAAAAAGTGTAAACAAGAAAAGATACCATAAGAACTTGGTTATCTCTTCCTATTTAAATTTTCATTTTGTTTTTACTGTAATGGATTTTTTCAAATAGAAATAAAAATCCCTATACTTTATAAATACAATTGACAAGAACAAGAAAATCGAAAATAAACAAAATTTTAAGTAGATAAATTGCATGTGTATGTGTAATGTGCTCCTAGCAATCCCACCAGTACCAGTACCTAGTCAGTTGTATTCTACTTCTACTCTACCCTACCAGTCTCCTACTGTGGCCTGACCTTCATAATTCATATTGTGCTTCCATTCATTCAATGTGACCTTCCAGTCCAGTATTGAGTATTCATAGATAATGAAACCCAGTTGAAAGGGGACTGATTATAAAATTTGAACATTACACAATAGAATACTGCTTCACTTTTTTGTTCGCCGCTCCATCGAGTACTCGCGAACGTAAACCGGTCTCTTAGGGTACTACGAGGTACTGCGTTATTAGCAATTTTTACCCTTCCTAACCTTAAAAGTGATCAACAGGTTGTCGCCATGGCTTGCCCTTTACCCTCCAAGTGCAAGTAAGTTTTTGAAAATTATTTGATGTTTATAGGTACTTGAGTATTTCATTAAGTACCTACCTATTCTGCTAAGAAAGTGCTTATCATGCTCATTATGACGCTAATAAATATGGTGTGATCATTATACATTATCATAACATCATTCAATAATTTATTGAGAAGGATTTTCAATACCTTTGGTTAATTATTTGAAATTTTTTAACTGTGTAATAAAAATCTTCAAGGGTTTTAGGAAATTGTTTGTCCTAGTTTTATTCTATCTGGGTCAATTGTTGTTTGGTTTTAACCTGAGGTCAATCTAAGCTATCTAAAACGATCAATACCCTTGATTATACCACACAATTACTTGTCAATAATTTTGATTTTAGCAATGAGTGATTTGCTATACTCTGCAGTCAGTTAGTTAGGTATTAATCATGGTTTTCATTGAATTGGATGGCGAATAGTGCATGAATAAATCATCACAAAGTTTTTCATGCTTCTCAATAGACAAGAAAACCCCAAATTTTGCTTATCAAATCTATCTAAAGGACCTTATTAGGTTTTGAGAATGATAATTCTGATCTAATTCTATAAATTCAGATAGATATAGACCTTTAAAGGCTTTAAATGGGAAGAATATCCATGATTATCATCATTGGACAAAATTATCATGATTAGTCTTATTATTATTCAAATAGGTACTTAACATTTGTATGTAAAAAGTATAGGTATGGTACTGCCCTAGGTACTGACAATAATTTTGAGAAGAGCAAGAGCGCAAACTGTTTGTTACTTATTTTGTAAAACCTCAAATAGAGCTAAGTAGGTATTATACCGATCATATATTGTATTGAGTATCAAACAGTAAAGTGTGCGATTGTGCATTCTCCATAAAAAGGTTAAATTACATAGAAAGTAGTGCTTCAAAAAAACTGATTTTTGGTTCAGTGATTGGTTGGGTGCATTGTTGCGTAGTAGTAGTTAAGTAGTTTTTGCTCAAGAAGCGAAATTCCTTAATCCTATTTTTTTGTGTATGCTGCACACAAAAAAAAAAAGTTCATTTATTTAAATAAATTCTTATCTATATAAATAAACATCAATAAATTTAAAGTCCATACCTTACCTGGGTAATTTGAAAACTTGAAACGTTTTGAATATGGAATGTTTCTTGTGTGGTCTTATAAAACAACCAACAAAGGAATTAAAGACTGGATATTTTCCATGCGATAGTTGCAGAAATTCAATGTGTGCAGAATGCTCAGATTTGTCAACCTCTGAACTCAGATGTTTGCCGTTACAAAAGCGAGTTGTCAAGTTTCACTGCAGAAAATGTAGAAATAATGATTACGTGGAAAGTCTTAAAAACATAATAACAGATAAAGAAATTATAATTCAGGACAAGAATGAAATCATAAAAATACTCAAAGAAAAAATAGATGCTCTTGAGCATAATATGGGAAATATTTCTGGACCGACATTCGCTGATGTCCTACAGAAAAACCGGCAGTCTATTAACAAGACTATACCTCAGAATATCCCCGATGTAATCATTAAACCAAGGATCCCCCAAGATGTTCAGCAAACTAAAAATGCTATCACAGTGAACATCAACCCGACTGAATTAAAAATTGGGATAAAAAAACTGAAACCAACTAAATCTGGTGCCATTTTGATCAAATGTGCCAATAAACACGAAGTGGATGTTCTCAAAGCGGCAGCAGAGGAAAAACTGAAAGACACTTACTTAATAGAAACAACAAGGATGAAAAAGCCAAGAGTAAAAATTACAAACTTTAATAAGGATATGACAAAAGAACAAATAACCAACTCCATATTACAACAAAATGAAACTCTGCAAGACTTCAATGTGACATATATCAAAAATGGAAAAAATGGTAACAAAACCATATTTGGAGAATGCTCAGATTCATCGTTCAAGCATCTGTTACATTTGGAAAAAAATTATATTTCTTGGGAGCGCTATCCAGTCTATGAGGATCTATCGATCCCACGCTGCTTTCACTGCCAAGGTTTCTATCATATGAAGCAAGACTGTACAAATAAACTTGCCTGTCCGCTTTGTAGTGAAGAACATGAATATAGAGACTGTCCAAAACAAAACCAAATGTGTGTAAACTGCTGCCATTCTAATAATAAATACAAAACAAACCACGATGTCAATCACGAAGCAAATAACACCCAGTGTCCCACGTTACAATTTCATATTGATTTATTAAAGAACAAAATAGATTATTCTTCATAATGGTTTTAAACGATCAAGAAACCTAGAAAAATTAGATCAAGATCATCGTGGTGACTATATCCATCCTGGAAAATGTGAAACTCTTCTAGCATCTTCGGATAAATGTTTAAATATTATGCATTTTAATATACGGAGTGCAAATAAAAATTTCGATAACTTCATTACTCTGGTTGAGGCGTACAAGCTGATGAACTGTGACATCTTTGTGTTGGGTGAGTGCTTCCAGGGAGTGGCTTCTGAGAACCTCAATATTCCTGGTTTCGTGACCGTTCATAGCGGCGGAAGTTTCAATAGAAATGATGGAGTATTAATTCTTATTAAAAACAGTTTAACTTTTAATGTATTGAATCAAAAACTTGATATATGTGGTGTGACCCTATGTATTACATGTATAGAGATATATGGTATGTATTTTAGAATTATTGCTTTGTATAAACCCAATCCAAGTAACTTAATCTCATTCATTGACGAAATTGATATATACCTGGAAAATTCACAGCAGCCAAATGAGGTCGCAATATTTATAGGAGACATAAACATAAATCTTTTAAATGACAGTAATGTTAGTGTCAAAAGATATTTATCAGTACTAGCCAAACATGGTTATTTGCCCTATATTTTAAACCCTACTCGTATTACACTAGAAAGTCAGTCATGCTTAGACCATATATTTTTAAAAAAATCAACCAAGTTCCAAAATTTAAATTTTAACTCGTACATTGTAGAATGTGACTTTACAGATCATTATCCTGTTTTTATGAGTATACACCTGAAATCCAAAACCAATTCTCTTCCGGAGAACCTCATTAAAAAGCATATAAAAATAGATAATAGAGCACTGAAAACATTTTTGAAAAATGAAAATTGGTACCATGTATTAAGCACTGACCCACAATTAGCCACCACTAAGTTCTCAAATACTTTCAGTAGTTTTGTAGATAGAGCAAAAATTGAAAAAATATTTATCAAAAAGAAAAAAAGATAAAGCCATGGATAAGCGAAGGCCTGATCATATCAATAAAAAATAGAGATAAAATGAAAAAAAATATTGACTCGACATTATTCCTGTGCACTAGAGCAGCAATATAAAACATATAGAAACGAGTTAAATAGGCTCATAAAAAAAGCAAAAAATGACTTCTATCAAAATCAGATTCAAAATAATAAACACGATCTTAAAAAAATTTATCGAATAATTTCAGAAGCTACAAATAAGAAAACTCGCTCAGAAAATTCATTGCACCCCACCAATGATGAGGGTCTCCTTTTAACAGACAATAATCTGGTGGCAAATCACTGTAATAATTACTTTATTAATGTTGGGTTGAATATGTCAAAAAAAATTGAACCGTGAGTGAACTTTTCTGAGAGACACATTTTAAATGCAGATTCGATGTTTTTGAATCCTGTAACAGAGAATGAAATAATTAAACAAATATCCACATTAAAAAACTCCTGTGCTCCTGGTATTGACGGTATTACTACTGAAATGATAAAGGATAATCATCAATATATTCTTAAGCCCCTCGTTCATATAATTAATCTAATTTTTACTAAAGGAATTGTTCCAACACAGTTTAAAACTTCTATCGTAACCCCTATTCATAAGGCTGGTGATAAAAAAAAAGATTAGTAACTACAGGCCAATAAGTGTGATGAGCAATTTTGGAAAAATTTTTGAGAAGTGCCTAAAAGTCCGTCTGGTATCATTTTTGAATAGATACAATATTTTGCATGAGTGCCAATTTGGCTTTCGCGATGGCAAATCTACAAGTGATGCCATGTGTTCTGTTTTATTGGAAGTACTGGAATGTTTAGACACAAACAAGAAATGCATCTCTGTTTTCCTTGATTTGGCGAAGGCGTTCGATACTGTTAACCACACTAGACTTATTAGTACTCTAGAGCGCTCTGGGATACGTGGCTTGGTGTTGGATGTCTTTCGGAGCTATTTGACAGATAGAAAGCAGTATGTCAGAATTGGTGATGCACTTAGTAATCCAGAAACTATTAAAATAGGCGTTCCTCAGGGAACAGTCCTTGAACCCATACTCTTTTTGCTGTATATCAATTCATTGTTATCTCTTATTACTGACGTAAAAATTGTTGCGTATGCAGACGATACAGTGGTAACATTTAAGGGTGCAACATGGGAGGAAACCAAATTGGCTGTGCAAATGGGCATGGAAAAAATTAAAAATTGGCTAAACTTCAACTATTTGTCGCTAAACGTTGATAAAACACACTATCTTGCATATACTCTATCAGATGCTAACAAGCCAGAGTATAATAGTATCAGTGTTCAGGGCATGGATGTGCATATTGGGGAGGTGAGTGAGATTAAGTACTTGGGCATAATTTTAGATAGGAATTTGAAATGGACGAGTCATGTGAACTACCTTACAAAAAGAGTGAGAAAGCTCATCTACAAGTTTTATCAGATGCGTGATTTTCTTTCAAAGAGTTTACTATTATTAATTTACAAATCTCTTGCTGAATCACTGTTTTGCTATGGCATTTTGGTTTGCGGAGGAATGTATGCTAACGCACTGCAAAAGCTGAATGTAATTCAAAACTACATATTGAAAATAATTTATAGAAAACAAAGAAGATATACTACTAGTCTGCTCTATACAGAGGAGGTATGTAATATTCGCACCTTATATTTTCATAAAATATGTATCCATGCATTCAAAAATCTCCCTACTCCATTTAAAATGCATTGCTTTCAAAAAATGTACACATTGGCAGATTTCTGGCATCAATGCATGCATCTAAAATTGGAAAGTTCAAATATCAGTAGAGTTCAACTGAACCCTTATGTGGTACCTACAACTGGGTCTACGCCTTCATTATTTGCTTTGTTTTCGGTCAAATCAGGAGCAATCAATCCAATCAAATACCTAATCACAAAAGTTGTAATAAATAACATTGAGACTTGGATGTTTTGATAGGGGTTCAGTACATGTTTTGAGTTCTGATCTAATTGTAACCTTTGTAATTCTGAAGCGACAAAAGTGTCAGTTTTTCTGAGGTCAATTTAATGTAAATGATGTTTTGATAGATTTTTCAACATAAGCAGAATGTTCAAATGTATCTGTAGATACAATTACATGATACCTATTCAGTTTTTTCACCATATGTATCTATGCTGTTTCGATTGTTTCCATAAAGATTAATATAGGTAAAGTAAAAAATGTTGCCAATGGGAGGCTCGTTCATCCCATGCTAATAAATTCGATAATTTGTAATTCTTTGCGAGTTTGGTTTAGTTCAAGATTCAGTTCAATTCAATTCAATTCAAAAAATCTTTACTGTGGTAAATGTTATAATGTACCAATTTAGCTACATGCTTGCCTGTCGCATAATATGGTTTTGATTATCTAACAGCCTTGTGACAGTTTTTTACTTGTTTTTTTTTTTTATTAAGAGCCTCGATATGTGTTTCAAATCTGAATTTTGGAATCACCTAGGAACCCGACAGCTGATTTGTTTTCTATAATCTTCCCTTCCAATGCAATGCTCTCAGGATGACAATTTAAACTCAGTATACTTGTTCTTGTTACATTAAACACCAAGAAATTTGTGTTGCGTCACTCCATTCCTTTATTTGACCACCAAGTCTATTCCAACTGATTGTCGTAAATCTTCCTTGTCATTATGCTTCCAAAGTATTGTTGTGTTATTCGCAAAAGTCACAAAAAATGATAGAACAGACAGATCGGGAAGATCGTTCAGAAAGAGAACGACCCTTGGGGAACTCTGTGTAGTAGATTAGACTTAACAGTGTTGAGATCATCTTCACAAATAAAAATAAAAATTGTCAGCTTTTATAAGAAGACAATTTGATGGAACATAGGTATTAGGAAAATGAAATGATAGTAACCTACATTTTGCTCAACGAGGGTAAAAAAAATCCAAAAACAACAGTAAAAAAACCTAGAATAATTTTTTAATGACTATAGGTACTATCAAATTATTGAAATTAAAGTATCTACTTTAAAATTATACCATTCAATAATTGTACCTTGGAGTACTAGTTATCTATAGGCTATAAGGTGTTTCTGTTATAATTGGTGATACTCGGAGGAAAACGTTGAGCATAGAATAAACGAAAAATTAGAAAAAAAAAAGAAAATAAATCAGAAAACCTATTTCTCCTTGGGTTTACATGTACTTTAACTTAAACTGACTGAACATTTCAATTCCAGGAAAGGAGATATAGGCCTAATTGGCTTGGCCGTCATGGGACAAAATCTCATCCTGAACATGGCGGATCACGGTTTCACTGTTGTGGCATTCAACAGGACTGTTGAAAAAGTCCATAACTTCTTGGCTAATGAAGCCAAAGGTATGTTTTCATCCTATAATAAATTTTATCCGGAAATTTTAATTTCTCTTTTAGGAAAAAGCATAATTGGTGCAGAGTCCATTGCTGATTTGGCAGCGAAATTGAAAGCCCCCAGGAGGGTTATATTGTTAGTTAAAGCTGGACCTGCTGTAGACAGTTTTATTGATCAATTGTTACCACATTTGGAAAAGGTATGAACACAACTATTTATTGGTTGAACAACATATCCAACTCATCTTTTTTTTAGGGAGATATAATTATTGACGGTGGTAACTCCGAATATCAAGACAGTGAAAGGAGGAGCAAAGCATTGCAAGAAAAAGGCATCAGATTTGTTGGATCTGGAGTCTCAGGTAATTGCTATCTCATTCTCAACTGAGCTGCTCAAAATGCAAAAAAGTTTCTAAATTTAGTCCTATGTATATGAAATCATTATTATTATAATAACTATTGATACCTAGCTCTCAATTTTTTAATCTTAGGTGGTGAGGAAGGTGCCCGATATGGTCCAAGTATTATGCCAGGTGGAAACAAAGAGGCGTGGCCTTACATCAAAGACATTTTTCAAGGAATTTCAGCTAAAGTCGATGGACAACCATGCTGTGATTGGGTAGGAAGCGATGGAGCTGGGCATTTTGTCAAAATGGTAAGTGCATTATTGAAGTTGGTTCCACATATATTAAGTATTTATTTTTAGGTACACAATGGTATTGAATATGGTGACATGCAACTTATTGGAGAAGTTTATCACCTTATGTTGGCTTTGGGCATTTCTCAGGAAGAAATGGCTAATACCTTTGAAGATTGGAACAAGGGAGAACTCGACAGCTTTCTGATTGAAATCACCAAAGATATTTTAAGATATAAGGATACTGATGGTAAAAAAAATATATTCTCTGTGTGAGCTGCTAATAACTGTTTTGTTTTATAATTTCATAGGTCAGTATTTGCTCCCTAAAATCAGAGATACTGCAGGTCAAAAGGGCACAGGAAAATGGACAGCTATTTCTGCTCTCAACTATGGAGTTCCAGTGACTCTAATTGGTGAAGCTGTATTCAGTCGTTGTTTATCTGCTCTTAAGGTGAATACATTTAATTTGAAATGCTTCAAAAAATTGTATTGATTTTTATTTAAAATTTGGTCGAAAAGAATAGTAAAGGGTATATCTGCTGCAAAAATACAAAAATTGCATGGATGAAAATGAGTCCATTCACAATAATAATATGGAGCAAATTTCGAGAGTTCATACACCTACCAATTTAATCTGATAAGAAGTGTTCTAACAGTGTTAAATAAGTGAAAAGGATTGAATGTATTGTACATTATAGCAAGATCCCTGAGAGACCAAACTGACCAGTGCCAATAAATTTGTGAGAAATTTTGAGATAAAAATTCATGTTCTTATTTTAAGTGAAGCTTGGTTAAAAGCATGAAAAGGAAACTTCTATATTATAGCAATATAATGCTGGCTATGTAGATAGACACAAACACCTACCTTTCAAATTATAACAAAGCCAACAACTTCCCTATCTAGACAGATTCATAATCTATTGCAAATTTTCAAACAAAAGAAATCGGTCCTGTATTTCCTATATAATCTCAAATAGAATCAAAACTAGTAGATTCTCAATTTCAGCAGAAAAAATATCCATGTATCTATATATTTTCCAGGCCGAAAGACAAAAAGCAAGTTCTGTTTTACCCGGACCGAGCGGTACCAAATTCTCCGGAGATAAAAAACAGTTTTTGGAAGACCTCCGCCAAGCCTTATATGCCAGTAAAATCGTATCTTATGCACAAGGTAAGAAACATTCAGAAACTAACAAACAAATTAAAATCTTCTCTTATCAGGTTTTATGTTGCTGCGTGAAGCTGCTCAGGTTCACAACTGGGACTTAGACTACGGTTCCATTGCCCTTATGTGGCGTGGAGGTTGCATTATCCGTTCGGTCTTCCTAGGACAAATTAAAAAAGCCTTTGACACTGACAAGAACTTGAGGTCTTTATTATTAGCTCCATTTTTCTTGGACGCTATTTCCAAAGCTCAAGCTGGCTGGAGGAATGTAATTTCTACTGCGGTCAATTTAGGAGTTCCAACTCCAGCTCTGGGCACAGCTTTAGCTTTTTATGATGGATACAGGTCAGAAAGACTTCCGGCTAACCTTTTACAAGCCCAAAGAGATTACTTTGGGGCTCACACATATGAACTTTTGGGACAAGAAGGCAAATACGTGCACACCAACTGGACTGGCAAGGGTGGTAATGTATCTGCTACCACTTATGATGCATAAAATGTTAATTCCTTTATTTAATTATTGTTTTTGTTAAAATTTATTACTTATTAATATGTGTTTATATCGTGATTCAGGGTTTTTTAATTGATTGTATGCAAATATATTTATTATTGAAGTATTCTTTTTAATACAATATTTTCTTTTTTTTTCAAGTTTATTCTATGAACTAATCCTGCGATATGTGAAAATATGTAATAATAGTCCTCTCAGGTATGAAATTATGGTTTCACAGAATTTTTGGTTTTCCCGTGATTCTAAAATTATTTCCATCTTTGCCTTTAATGAATGATTTTGATTTATGAGTTCCACTTATTTGTAACTGATTTTTCAACAATTTTTTATCATCTTTTTTGTAATCGTTTTTCTTTTGTCTGACAAGATCAAGAAACTTTTAAAAAAAATCAAATTTTATCAAACAATATCTAATTTTAATATCAGATTAATTTTCACAACCACGAAATCTGAAAACTACAACAGCCAAAAGAGCTACAATAACACTCAAAGTAATGCACAACAGCGTTATTGTTAACCAACAGCAAAAGAATGACTGAGAATACAGACGGTCATAAAGCCCCTTTTCATGAAAGTCATGCTTCTTTCTCTTCATTTCGAGGGGTGATACTTCCAATTGTGTAACTGGAGTCGCTATTATTGTTTGGTGGTAGTTTTCGTACATTTCGTTATCCTGGGGGGTCTGCATTCTGCTGATTTAAAGCAAGTTTTGCACCTAAATGAAATAGCCCTCTATTGTGACAGTTAGTTCAGTTCAACAAACTGCAAACCTGACTGAGATAAATGCCATATAAACTGTCTGAATAGACAGATTGATTCTCATGGTACCAGCACCACAACTGGAACTGGATTAGGACCAGTTTCACAATGTTAAGTGATAACCTGCACTAGCACAGTTGCGCACATAATAAATAAAGAAACGAGTGGGATATGCATATTGAAATAGTATCCTACGTCTAATGTACAACATTTTATTTACCACTACTCATAAATATTATTTTATTGATTATTCTAATAAAAATAAGTTGAAAAAATTTAATTTAGGATATATGTATTTAATATTGTTCTACAGGCATAGGTATGTGGAAATCTTAATTCGGTAGATGAAGGCTACATCAAAACTGCTAGTGAAAACAAAACCAACGGATGAAAATTCCAGCTGCAAGCTAGAATGTTTTCCCGGAAGCAGAGACTATTGTCCACCATCTTAAGATATTCCAGCATAATCCACAAACTACGGTACAGAAGAAAAAAATACCACGAGCCTGCGGAAAGTGCACTTTACCACATATTGATTCGGTAAAGTAGAATTTCGTATTTAAAATCAAAAATCCCTTCTCTTCCAGAAACAATAATGCCTTTTTTTGGAGATACGGGTGAGTTACCTAGCGCGCGGTGGTCCATATCTCCTATACTAACGGAGATCGAAGAAATAACTTCATACAAAACTTGTAAATAAACATGAATACTACATTCCTAAATTATTTTCCAGTATACAGGGTGGCCCAATAAGAAGTGGTGACACAAAGTTATGTTTTTTAAAATAATTCCCCAGTATATTATGACATTTCTAGTTTTGTATTTAGTTTTTTCTACGATCTCCGTAGTATAGGAGATATGGACCACCACGTGCTTAGTAACTCACCCGGTACTAGATGCTCATAGGTAAAATTTTGTACCTTCACACACGCGGAAAGTACTTTTAGCGCCCCTAACGGCTTAACCAAACAACTGCCGTTGTGTGCGGTAAGGTATCAGTTTCCGCATTTGTTTGGTAAATGACTATAATAGTACCTAACACATGCGATAAAGTAACTTTACGGCACATGCTACTTTACATGACGGTTGTAGATAAAAAAATTAATTGAACAAAAGTAGGGACTTGAGAGTCAAGTTAGGTTTGTATATGCTGTTCTTTAATTTACAAAGGTGGAAATTCATTACACAGCATTTTGGTCCTAACAAGCCGCGCACTGTTCTGAGCAACAGACACAACAGATCAGTGACATCAACAGACCACCGATAACCGATAAATGTTTAGCGCGCTATTCGGAAAAATCATGCTAGGAGACATGCATCGACTATACACTGACTCAATAAACTATAGTGGCGACAATTGCCACCCTTTTTTTTAAGTGGCTCTTCAAAATCCTATATAGGTATTCATATTGAAAAATGAGCAAGAATATGGCGGAGGGGCGTAGATTACTTTCAACGATAAGGATTGCTTATCGCCCTTATCGGCTTTGACATTTCCGACGTGATAACTAAATCGTCAGCTGTTTGCACTAGCCGTCGCAGTTTAGAATTTAAATTTATGATGAAAAATATTATTTAATTTTGATTAACCTAATAGGCAAAGAGGAAGATGTAGACGGGATCTATAAAAAATAAAAAAGAATTGTTTTAGTATGTTACTTAAAATTAATGAAGTAAAACAGAGTATGCGTAAAGCAAAAGCCCGCGAAATCATAACCTGTGGTGCAAACAGCCTACGTCAGGGCGGGAAAGGACATGCTGTCACGTCACAACTGGTGATTTGGCGTGGTGTAGTAGTAGTGTGTATTATCCTTGGATTACTTCTAGATTCCTATTTAAAATTAGCAAGAATATGGTTGCGGGACCTCTATTGACGCCACTGTAGGTAGAAAAGGTTTTTTTTTCTCTCTCTTAGACCTGTTCGTCTTAGGTCCCCATGTAGCACTGAAGCCTGAGAAGGCTTATAATTGTGCTTAAACTGTTTGTTTTATTTCAACTACCCTAGTATTTTGGTGCCCAGTCCCAGTACAAGACTTTTACTGGGTGTTGTTTCATTATTGTTTTCGCGATTACCTTCGGTTGCCCGAAAATGTTGTGCCTTCTGCGATCCAGTGCGTCACAGTGGTCACAGTTTACCCAGGATGTTTCTGGCTGTCTCGGGTTCTTTATTGCAGAGTCTGCAATTATAAGGTCTACGTCATACAGGTTCATCCTGTTCCAGGTGGACCTTTACGCGTATGTGGCCTGTTATAGTCCTGTCGGCTCCTACTCATTTTTAGCAGCTCTGAGGCCCGTTTTCTGCATGGTTGTTCGATGGATGAACTTCCTACCACTACCACGATTCTGCATTCTGCATGGAAGTTGTCCAGTAGTGTCGACATTCTTTACGAACCCAGTCTTGTAGCTTCTGGCTTCTGGTCCATACCATTGCATACTTTTTGGCAGGGAGCCGGATCGGAATGATATGGAACCGAAAACCGGAACGGAACCGTTTTCTTTTTTTGCGGACCGGAACGAAACCCATATTTCATAGAAATGTTGGCAGGCAGAAACTGGAACCCATATAAATTATTCGGTTCAACCGGTATATTTCGCCTATTTCGGTTTCAAGATTTCATAAATTAGGCTGTTTGGTCATTTTAACAATTTACCTCTATCAAAATAAGCCTTGGAAAGCGCGCATTTCTAAAATCTAAACTCGGCTAGGCATACCAAGGATATTACAGACTACTACAGGATTGCTCATCGGCATCGATTTTTGGAATTAAGGTCAAATGGTGTTGCACTGTTGGCGACGTAGTAATGAATATACTAGGGATTTAGGTATGATCTAATTTTGATCAACATAATAGGCAAGAGAAAGATGCAAACGAGATCTAAACAATGGTTGTTTTAGAATATTAAATAATGTTCTAGAACCTAAAACCACAGATTACCTACATACAGATGCGAAAGAGCGGTGAATTCGTGGTTCAAGATTAATTTGATAGACATAGGCTGGCCGCACCAATGCCACATCAATGTATTTTGAACATATTTATTATATAAATGCGGTAGCTCAATAATATAATATTATTTCTTTAATTGGTTCACAAACAGCAAAAAAATATTTTTTTCTACTGACGTTTCATAATAGCAACTTTTCGATTGTCATTTCAGTTTTGAAACGACATTCTTTTAGGCACTGAGTGCGTGAAAGTTACTTTTAGGCACTCAGTGCGTAAAAGTGACTTTTGAATGCGTAAAAGTGACTTATGAGTGCGTAAAAGTAATTTTTAAGCACTAGTGCCTAAAAGTGTCATTCATTATTCAGAAATAAAAAACACACTAAACACATATTTGAATTTTGTTTTGTATTTATTATGAATATTGAAAATTGAATTACTGAATTGAACGTTTGGGTTACTCAAAACAGAACTTTGTGTTATTACCTACTCTCTAGGATTTTAATTATTGATGTCGAATTTTGAAAAGAAAATCGCATGAAAAGTGTCAGGTGTCAAGTAAAAGCAGGTAACAAAGATTTTGGGTGTAATCGACTTATTCACATGAAATAAAATTGTGTTTTTTTATTATAAAATGCCAGTAGAAAAAATCTTGTATACAATACGTTACGAAACGGTGTCTTTTAGTCACTCGACGTGTTGTCCAACTCGGCTTTGCCTCGTTGGACAATTTTCACGTCGCGTGCCTAAAAGACGCTCATTTCGTAACTTATTGTATAAATAGCTATTTTCTACTGACGTTTCATAATAGCAACTTTTCGATTGTCATTTTAGTTTTGAAATGACATTCTTTTGAGCACTCAGTGCGTAAAAGTGACTTTTAGGCACTCAGTGCGTAAAAGTGACTTTCCAGTGCGTAAAAGTGACTTTCAAATGCGTAAAAGCGACTTTCAAGTGCGTAAAAGTAACTTTTAAGCACTAGTGCCTAAAAGTGTTATTCATTGTTCAGAAATAAAAAACACACTAAATGCAAATTTGAATTTTGTTTTGTATTTATTATGAATATTAGTCACCAACATGAAAGGTGTCAAGCAAAAGCAGGCGACAAACATTGAAATAAAATTGTGTTTTTTTATTATGAAACGTCAGTAGAAAAAATCTTGTATACAATACGTTACGAAACGAAATCTTTTAGTCACTCGACGTGTTGTCCAACTCGGCTTTGCCTCGTTGGACAATTTTCACGTCGCGTGCCTAAAAGACACTCATTTCGCAACTTATTGTATAAATAGCTATTTTCTACGAGCGTGCGGGAAATGGCTCTTCCCGCACGATTTGCTGTGCGGGAAGAGTTTGAAATAATCATGTGACATGGAATTGTTTGTATTGTTGATACACCTATACCTGTACCTTTACCTTTTCATAAATACCTTTAAATACATTTTTAATTCTACCTTCTGCATAATCGCATTTTATTTAAATTAAACTTCTCGTAACATCAGCTTTAGTATGCTCGTAGAAAAAATATAGTTCCTAACTCTTGCGGGAAGAAATTTCCCGCACTCGTTAGGAAAATAGCTATTTTCTACTGACGTTTCATAATAGCAACTTTTCGATTGTCATTTCAGTTTTGAAACGACATTCTTTTAGGCACTGAGTGCGTGAAAGTTACTTTTAGGCACTCAGTGCGTAAAAGTGACTTTTGAATGCGTAAAAGTGACTTATGAGTGCGTAAAAGTAATTTTTAAGCACTAGTGCCTAAAAGTGTCATTCATTATTCAGAAATAAAAAACACACTAAACACATATTTGAATTTTGTTTTGTATTTATTATGAATATTGAAAATGGAATTACTGAATTGAACGTTTGGGTTACTCAAAACAGAAGTTTGTGTTATTACCTACTTTCTAGGATTTTAATTATTGATGTCGAATTTTGAAAAGAAAATCGCATGAAAAGTGTCAGGTGTCAAGTAAAAGCAGGTAACAAAGATTCTGGGTGTAATCGACTTATTCACATGAAATAAAATTGTGTTTTTTTATTATAAAATGCCAGTAGAAAAAATCTTGTATACAATACGTTACGAAACGATGTCTTTTAGTCACTCGACGTGTTGTCCAACTCTGCTTTGCCTCGTTGGACAATTTTCACGTCGCGTGCCTAAAAGACGCTCATTTCGTAACTTATTGTATAAATAGCTATTTTCTACCCGCAAAAATATGTAAACACACAGGCTGGAACATGCTCACGCACTCAGCCACGTTAATTTTCCTGACACGGGCGATCTTTATCTATGCGTGGGGTTGCTGGCAGCCCGGCTTCGTCACAGAATATCGTTCGACAGCAAGTATACGTACTTACGCATCTGTATTAGGTGATCTGTGCTAAAACCTAAAACCAAATATGCATAAAGCATATAAAAAATCAGCGCGATCGTAACCTGTAGTGCAAGCACCCTATATACGTCAAGGCGAGAAACAACACGCTGCCTACGTCATCACTGGTACTTTGGCGTGGTGGATTGAGATTTTTATTAATTAACTGATTATCTTAATGATAATTATTTTTATTAAAGTTGTTGCAGATGACAGAGGAATCCAATAAAAAATAAACCCGAAATTACAGAAACATAATTTTTTCTGTCAGCAAATATTTGTGAAAAACTATACCGTTATGAGCCGTTTAAACCGAAATTATCGTTCCGAACCGAATCGAAATATTTCTCTAAGAACTGGAACCGTAACGGAACCGATATTTGTCATGACGCTGTGGACCGGAACGGCACCGGTCCCTGCTTTTTGGTATGCCTTTAGCCGGCTCTGGCTCGATAAGTTTTGTATATATGATCCTCCTTTCATTGCATAAATAGATACGCGGATGACATTCCGACCGAACCGATTCGCCTGAACCAAACCGAACCAGAACCGGTAGAGCAAAGGCGTTTTCTCGCGTCCACTTTTTTGAAACTGGTTCAAAACTGTTTTGAAATAGAACATTCTCGCGATAAACCCATGACGTCACGTCAAAATTGGTTCAAACCGTTGCGAAATACAATCCAATCCACGTTTTCAAACCATTTTCTCGCGCCGAGAAATTATGACGTCATGGTGACATTACTTGAACCAGTTTTGAAATAGTACATTAAAATACAAGTTTCATAAGACGTCATTTTATCGCACGAGCCCTATATTAGAAAACGAGCCGGAGGCGAGTTTTCTAAAGGGCGAGTGCGATAAAATGTCTTATGAAACGAATATTTTATACTATTTTTTCTATTTTGGTATTGTTTAATTTTAAAAAAAACAAATTTTTCTTAGAAATTTTATTCTCATATTTCGATTTCATATATTTAGGTTGGTAACACTACATGCCAAATATAGAAATCTTCTATTATAAAATCGCGAATGACAGTTTGATGGCCATCAGTCAGCCAGTGTTACCAACCTCCGATAAGTAAAAAAGGAGTGTCACAAAGAGCTTCTTTTCGAAACTACTTTTAGTGTCGAAAAGACTTCGATATGACACCAAAATAGAATAGTACATTAAAATACAAGTTTCATAAGACGCCATTTTATCGCACGAGCCCTATATTAGAAAACGAGCCGGAGGCGAGTTTTCTAAAGGGCGAGTGCGATAAAATGTCTTATGAAACGAATATTTTATACTATTTTTTCTATTTTGTTATTGTTTAATTTAAAAAAAACAAATTTTTCTTGAAAATTTTATTCTCATATTTCCTGTTTTCATAGTTTATGTTGGTGTCACTACATGCCAAATACAGAAATCTTCTATTATAAAATCGCGAATGACAGTTCGATGGCCATCAGTCAGCCAGTGTTACCAACCTCCGATAAGTAAAAAAGGAGTGTTACAAAGAGCTTCTTTTCGAAACTACTTTTAGTGTCGAAAAGACTTCGATATGACACCAAAATAGAAAACAAATGTTTTGAAACATTTGAGACGCGAGAAAACGCCTCTAGTTCAGAGTAGATTCGGAACAACCGGAACCGATTCTCATTCGTTGCCAACGGTCGGCACCACAGCACACAGCCCAGGGGCCACGATACTTTAACCTAAAATTTTTTCGTGGTTTTGCTTTGCTTCTTCATTTAGGAGAGGATTTAATTTGAATTTGAATTTTAATTTTTAAATTAAAATATACATATTTCAATGGATTCTTCAAACTCTACTGTTGAGACAATTGCGGTTGTTAATTTTTTATTGGAATCAAGTTGCTGTTACAGATGCATAATTAGATTTTTAGGCATACAAGTCCCAGAGAATGAAAAAGCCTACAGAAAGCCTAGAGAATATTTGAACACTTTGGTAAGTAGGTACACTTTTTTGAAAATTGCTATTGCTACCAACAATCCAGAAAGAGCATTTTGTTAAAAAAATTCAATAACTCTGGTTAAAATACAGTAGAATATTAATAGGTAACTCAAAACTCAATAATGTTTAATTATTCACTTACATTATTCTCATAGAAAACTATAGGATTGGAATCTCGACTGCTACACGTTGTGGCGGTTCAATAGATACCTCGAGAGATACCTAATTTCATTGTAGGGAAATTGCATTTGCATGCAGAAATGCACAATATCAAGGACTAAAGTCTATACCATAATTCAGCTTTCCAGAATTTGGTCCTTTCTTTTCTCTTATTTCTCTGGATTCTGGATAATTATAACAATAGTGGATTTCTTGTTGAGTTGAATGAAGTATGCTAAAACTAGTGATGTAAAATTCCCGAAACATTCTTTAAATTTAAAGCTGATTCAGACAAATCGTAGTAAGCTTTATTCACCTATTATTGTAGTGTACTGACTATAGACTATAAACCAAGAAAAACAACTATTTTTTTCTGTAAGATCAGCTAAAAATTAAACTATGTAATAAAAACTCTTTTATGGACAGAAGAATAAGGCTTTGAAGGAAAAGCTGATCCGATAAACCCAATATCTCAGCTCTTTATTTTTTATCTTTCTTCAATGAAGATTATTTCAAAAAAAGACAAACTGTAGGTTCATCAGCTGGTGATCGGGTAAATTGGATCAGCGTTTCGGTAAAGACAGTTGGACTAGTCTATGTCATCCACATAAATTGAAATGACGTCACTGAGACCTTGTATTCGCAATAATCTCGCATTTTTATAAAATTCTTCTAGAAAGTTTTTGGAAATATTCTCGAAAGTTCTCGGAAATATTTTTTTGAGAGTTTTTGAATGAAAGTTTCCGGAAATATTCTCATTCAGGAGAAAGTTTCCATTTTTTATCGGTGAATATTCTCGACTCACATCACTAGCTAAAACCAAACTCAAGCTTTCATAAATTGAAAATTTTGATTAAAATTAGGTACCACATCGGGTACTATAGTCCTAGCTATTAGCCATATTGTTTCTTTTCAGCTCGATGATCATAAAACAGTAAATCCAGAAGACAATAATTCAGATGAGTCTGTTGCTAAAAGATCGAAGCCAAATATTTGCCCAGTTTGTTTGGATTGTTTTGAACAAAAAACTGCAGAAAGAATTGTTTCAAATTTCGCATCACTTAGCATTAAAGATTATGAATATAAAACCTTCATTTTTAATGTTAGTTTTCCCAAGTGCCTGGCAATTAGAGCACATGGAATGCTACTACACTTAAAAAAACATTTTCCAGATTATAAATTCAAAAATTTATATGAGAAAGAGAAAGAAGGTAAGAATGTATCTTATCATTTTGATGTATTAAATAATCCTTAGTCATTTGTAATTTTTAGGGGATATTGTGATAGAACCACCCCACAAAATTTTTCGTTCTTCAGCTGGTGAAATTATTTCAAAGGCTATAAACAAACAATATCATCCCAAATCCAACTTAAGTTTGCTTATAACAATAGGATATGAAAATGATAATTTGGTAAATTACATTTCAGTATTTCGTCAATAAAGTAAAGATACCTAATATAATCCTATATAATAAATATTTTATTCTAGGAAGTGAATAATATGAAAAACATATTTAAAATTAAATCATCCAGAAAGAATCAAATAGAAACAAGTAGAAACAATATAAATGAATATTTAAAGGGTTTGGATGACCAAACTTTTAAAAATAATTTTCCAGTTCCACCTCAGGTACCTAATATAGAAGTTCAATTGGAAAAAGTAGACATAACTGCTGAACCAATATATCTTGGGGGAAGATACTTCAAGTTTAAGAGAACAATTGGTCAAACTCCTTGGGTAATTAATGGTGTCAGTTTAGCACCACATAATGTTGAAGAAATTATTTTTGATGCTGTTACTAATGTGCTTAGGTTTGTTTTTTGGTTTCCATGATTTACCTATATTAAATGGTAATTGAATTCCAGATTCAATAAAAAATATATGACTTTCTCATCTAGTGGTAGAGAAGATGTTGATGTGAGAATGTTGGGCTCAGGAAGACCATTTTATATTAAAGTTGATAATCCCAAAAACAGGAATATATCTTTGGAACAAATTCAAGAAATTGAAAAGCAAGTTCGTATTTCAATCATGATAGTGTTAAATCACGTTCAGTAATTTAAACTTTTATTCAGATAATCAAATCAGAACTTGTTGCTGTAATCAAACTCCAAGTTGTACATCCATCAGATTTGGTGAGGATTAAGCATGGTGAGGAGACTAAAAGAAAAACATATAGGGGCCTATGTAAAACAACTGCCCCTAATATCAAGGATGTTATATCCAAAATTAATGCACAGAAAGAGTTAACTATTTCACAACTTACTGTAATGCGAGTACTGCATAGGAGAACATTAATGACTCGGAAAAGAGAAATTCCCATAATTTCAGCTGCAGAAATACCAGGTAAATGGGGTTCTGTTGCATTTTTCAGAATTTTTTGCATTAGCTACTATTTTATCCATTCTTTTAGGTCAGTCTAATTTGTTTGAATTAGAAATAGTCACGCAAGCAGGAACTTATGTGAAGGAATTTGTTCATGGCGATTTTGAAAGGACAGTACCAAGCGTCAGCTCAATAGTTGGATATCCAACTGATCTGGTAGCCTTAGATTGTGTCAACATCGATTTAGTTTGGCCTGAGGCACCAGATACATAAATATGTTTTTGGATGTTTACATTTTTTTTTTTTTTTTAATAAATTTTTGCTTTATTTAGTTATATTTTACTTGTCACTATACAGGGTGTCCCAGCCGAGAGTGACCCATTTTAAAAGCTTATAACTTTTAAACCAGGTGTGCTAGCTAACTGCGGCTTGCGCCATTCGAATTCTCTTGACCTAAAGTTTTTTTTAGTAGGTTGCAAAATTTTTTGCCTCTTATACAGGGCGAGTAAAAAAGAATCCGCTTTTCAACATCGAAATTTTCCATTATTTTTGATAGAACGCCCTGTATATCACAACATCAAAAAAAAAGTCATGCTTGAGGCATCCATGTACCAAGCAAAAATTAAAATCGAAATCCTGGTATTCTTTTAAGCATATTTACAAAGCTTAGAAATTATGTTTGCCTACTGAAAAATTAATGAAAACTGCATAAAACTATAAAAAATGCTGTATATGTTACCAATGGATCAGTGAATAGTTGAATAAATTGTGTAACATTTCATTTCCTGGGGAATCGCTTCAATGACATTACGAATGTTCCACTCAATCTTCCAGATTATTTGGCAAAGGAATACAGGATCACTCTTTAACATAATTCCAGAGAAAAAAGTCTGGAACTGTCAAGTCAAGAGAGTGATGTGTCCATTCTATAGGACCAGATCTCCCTATATACCTACCTATCTTTTCCCAAATGTCATATCTAGTGATTCTCTTGCTATTAAAGAATAATGAGGTCAGGCACCATCCTGCTGAAAATAGATATCGTTCAAGAAACCCCTCCCGTCTTAATTGTGAATTAAAGAAATTTCCCAACATATCAGTGTATACAGTTAAAAATTATCGTTGCTTAATTAATGAAAAATGGTCCATATTTTTTTCTCAACAGAGATTGCATACCAAACTTACTTTTGGGGTATCTCGCTATTCTCACTGGAACTTGTTAAATTCTCTCAGAAAATGCATTTAAACTTAGTTGATATCTAACTTTGATATTTACAAAATTTTTTACCATACCTAGTGATAGCAAGTACCTACAACATGAAGATGCATGATGCTTTTGCAAAAATACCAGGATTTCGATCTCAATTTTTTACGGCTAAAACTTCAAGATTAGAGGACGATGTTTATTGGTACATGGATACCTTATGCATGACCCTTTTTTTTGACGTTGTGATATACAGGGCGTTCCATTAAAAATAGTGGAGAATTTCGATGTTGTAAAAACGTATTTTTTTTACTCGCCCTGTATAGGAGGCAAACAAATTTGCAACCCACTTAAAAAAACTTTAGGCCAAGAGAAGTAGAATGGTGCAAACCGCAGGTACCTAGCACACCTGGTTTAAAAGTTATAAGCATTTAAAATGGGTCACTCTCGGCTGGGCCACCCTGTATTATAGAATACCAATCTCAGATATTATATAAATATTAACATCAAATCAATAATGCCTGTTGAAAAAGTGGCTAAGAAATGTTATCAGTTAAAACTCTAGCTCTATGGAATGTGCCTGCTCACTTATTTTTCATATTTCAATTAGTGAAGCAGAAATATTTTTACAGTTCCATACCTTCTTGACACTAATCTAAATTCAAAACTAAACTCTGTCCAACGAACCTACGGAGTATAACAGAGTAAAAATGGCAGCCAGGTTTACACTGAACACTGATTTATGCCATTTATTTATTTCAAAATCTTACAAAACATCACTCTATAGTGAAATGAAGTATTGAAAATCATCCCAATCAAATGTAGAAGCGTGCTGCAGCGACAAGGCGCAAACAGCTGTTGCGGATGCCGCCCGTAAAAGGTTACACGCGTCTGCGGATCACACGGAGGCAACGCCACGAATATGGTTGGAAGTGTACGAACGAAAATTTAAAATTTGGCACGAAGCGACAAACGGCGGTTCACTAGCATTTTTGTTTACCTTCTCTTTATTTATTTGACACAAAATTATTATTTATAATTCGATAGTTTGTCTTATTATCAATGACATGAGAGGGAGTTTCGAGAAAGTCTCACCTCCCCAAGAATTTAACATTTAATAATAAGGAAGACTTTAATGAGTAGGAAAGAAAATTAGAGCAAGATACCATCAGAGCACAGTTTATAAAATATGGAACTGTTAAGAGGAAAAATGGTACAATAATTATTTATTTTATTTATCGTCGAGATGGAAATTTACATAAACGCATTAAAACATTACGTAGGTATCACCGTATCACGCTCACATAAACAGGCTTTATTGAATATTGACTTATTATTTAATAGCCTCGCTCGCAAGCTCGCTCGGTCATAAAATTATTCGTACAATAAAGCCTTTCTTTATTGTACTTGATATTTAATGCTATTTATATAAATAGCTATTATTCAACAATCTAGATTAAATACTGTCTTTCAAAATCTTACAAAAACAGCTTGGTTGTGATACAGCCTACAAATCAACTGTGAAGGGCGAAGGCGAAGGGCCATGTATACTTATCAATTATTTTTTTGTACCCGGGTCCCGCTTGATACCCCATCCCGAAAAAATTAATTCTCATTAGTCTTTCTAAAATTTTTAGTTAAATATCGATATTTCACGAAATGGAAATTGCAAAATAATCCTAGAATATAACAATAATATTCATCAGGAATCAGGATTCAGGACAAGGAGGCGGAGGCGTCAAAAAACAAGCAGCAAAAACGTTATGGGCGCTGTATTCGTGGCGTTGCCTCCGTGTGATCCGCAGACGCTTGTATATTCGTGGCGTTGCCTCCGTGTGATCCGCAGACGCTTGTTAAAAGGTTTGTAAGCGCGGTTGCCAGCTGTGACTAAATGTAGTACCAGGGGGAAAAAAATTGAAACTGGATAAAAAAAATGAATTTAAAAAATGTCTATAAGTGATAATATTTTTTTAAAAAATGTCATAAAATCTTGTATCCCTAACCAATTAATTTAGCAATTTTTCTTGGTAGGTATTTTGCCAACATTTGCAGTTTAGATTAAAACTATTACAAATTTTTACCGCTGATAAATAGTGGCAACACTGTCTACACCGCCTAACCCTAACCCCACTTTTAAGTTTTAAAATCCAAACAAACAATGAATTATTCTTAAACTTTGTGTTGATCAATTCTGTGATAATTGTGTTAAATTACCATTCACTGTTTCCACTACACTGATCATCATTCATATAAACAATCAACATAATCTTAGTAAGTGAAATTCTCCGTTTCTACATTCCCTTTTATATTAGTACTTTACCTATAAAATGTAATAGCTATTTTTGTGCTAAGCAAGTTGGATAAGTGAAAAAAGATTCTGCGCCCAGTAGGCTTGGCAACTTTAAAATATCAAAATCTCTGGCTAATTCTGTTATACCTAAATTATAGGCTTGTTATAGGTAGTTCAGGTAGTTTATGAATTAATCTCACATAATCACTAATCTTCCGTTTGAATCAACATTTAATACATTTTATCTTGCCATCATGATAGGATACAGAACCGAGTACAGAACTCTCAACAATCTCAACTCATTTAGCTTCCACCACAATAATATTCGTTTGAATATGAGGAAAGAGAATTAAAGAAAAAAATCCTTTCCTTGATACTTTGGTGATTGGAAATCAAAATGGTACATACTTTAATAACAAGCTGAAAGCTGGTACCATGAAACCCACAGCTTCAGGGAGTGTTGCACAGTTTTTTTTCATCACATTTCAGCCAGCACACACAATTAAGTATCTGAGTAGTTTGTCGTTATGTAACAAGTTGGCTCCGATGTTTTTCCTAGACTGAAAGAACTCACCCTAAAGATCAAAAAACTTAAAACCTATTCTGGTAATCAAGAATTATTTGCAGCAGAAATTTTCACTTTCACAGGCCCAAATGTGTATTGCATTTCTCAAAAGACTTTGCCCTTTTCCTATGCCTTTTCTGTTTCTTGTCTCTGATTCTACCAAGTCCTCGATCAAATTTACTCAAACTGAACCAACAATAATTTCAAACATCATTTATTTTCAACTATCAAGAAATAAAAACTGAGCCAAAAAATTAATATTTGCTTGAGGTACTTAATTTTGGACATTTTTTCATTTTAAATCCGTATATTTTCTTAAGTAGGTAGGTTCTAGTACATCTGGAGGATCATATTTACTATAACATCAACACATTGCATGCCACGTTTATATTGAGAAAATATCCCATGAGGCCACATGTGTTTTTCACTTAATTTTTATTGAAAAGTGGCTGAAATATGATAGATTATAGTGTTTTTTGTTTGTTTTTAGCTTTCCCCACCATTTTGTCTAGGTATGTCAATCATATATGACTGACATGGCTCCCCAGGTTATTTTCATGGACTTGGACATGGAGGGGTCCACGTCAGTTAAATAGGCTAGATTATTCCACTCATGTGTTAGAAATCCCATAAGACAAGTGACGATTTTCAAAATTACAGCGAGAATTTCATACATCTGTCAAAACTGGTGTTCCAACATTTAACTGACATGTTTTGATTGTTGATTTGAACCAATCAGATTGCAATTACGCGATAATTTGCACTAGTGCAAATTATCAGATAATTGCATACTAACTGGTGCGAAAACTGGTGTTTTCGACATTTTTTGACAAAAAATTTAAATTTTTGATTTATGAAATTCTCTCATTAAATACAACTCGTGCAATGGAAATATATTTATAATTTTCGACAAATTTGCACTCATGCGTTTTTAACTGAAAAAGTCACTCGTGCACTACCTGCACTCGTGCTCTTTTTCAACTAAAAATGCATTCGGGCAAATTTCCCAAAAATTATCAATAATTTTCATTGCACTAGTTATATTACTATTGAAAATTGTCTTTTCCATTTGTTTAACTAGAGAGAATTACAGCGACAATTCTCCCATGTTATTGTACCTATACATGGTTGTCATGCTAATTTTTGATACAAACAAACAGTTCCTTATAGCAACCATTTATTTGTATTGATTGTTAAGATGTTCAAATCGTTTAATACATATTTATTTCCATATTTTTTGCATCCTTATACGTGAAATAACCCTCTAAATACCACTTGAGCTTTAAAATTAACCAGATAATTTTTCACTCATGCGTGTTTTCTCTGCAAATTTCACTCGTCCTATGAACTCGTGAAATTATAGAAAACACGCAATCGTGAAAAACTATCGGTAATTTTGAAGCTCTCGTGGTATTATCCCCGACAATTTTTTTCTATTGTTTCTTTATACCTATCTATCTAAATAAATTTGCATATTAATGTTTTAATTTACTTTTTCAGAATTTTGTTTTTTTTGCTACTAAAATTATTATACCTTCAACCTACAAGAAGACAGTGTTCTTAGAGCAAAAGAACACAAGATTATTATTGGCGTCTTTGGAAAAGATAGGTTTAATACAATGTTCAATGTTTGATTAAAAACCCCACAAAAAAACTTTTAAATAGCCAAATTTGCCCAAACCAAGTATACCGATATGTCACAGGCCACTCTTTAAAATCCCATAAGGAAATATATTATGTATCGTCGGGCAGGTATGATTGACACGGCCTGGGTACGCTAAAGTCTGCGTCAAGCATATACAGGGTGACAATTTGAAAAGTAGCAATCGGGAATGTCTCTTAGACAAAAAATACTAAAAGATCTCAAACATGTATCAGGGGATTGGAGGGGAATCAAAATGAGTCCCTCCTTTGAAAGGTTTTTTTATTCCTCTTTAGAGGCGTGACTCTTTCATTCCAGCTACAATATAGAACATGATCACTTGACTCTTCATCTGGGAAACACAAAAACAATTTTGCCTGGCAACGTTGAAGAGCATTCAGCTATTCTATTAAAGTCCCATTAGGCTGAATTCACTTGAAACCACGTTGTGCAGCTGACACCCAACAGCAAATCATAATTCAACCATTTCCAATAGTATAATCGTGTAACAAATGGGGTCCTAACCTATTATGGCGGACGGCTTCCCCGGGGGACACCAATTACCAAAAAGAAATAATCAAATCATGATTGGTTGCCCTGGATATCAGTGAAACGCAACTTCAATTGTTAAGAGGAAGTTATTGAAAACATTTACAGCCAAATGCTTAAAACCTAATACCAAACATGCTTAACTAAAAGAAGCTTACCAAAATTCTGATTTGAAGGGCACTTAGGTCCTTCCATCTTTACTTCTGAAATGCACAAAACACCAATTTTAGAGAATCGAAAATGTGATGAAAAACCTTTTGAGAATGATCATTATTTGAGTGGCAAAAATTGCCTAAATTACTTAGTGCAAAACAATAATTATCATTTTTTTATGTAGGTACCCACTGTATACTTGTTATGCATCAGATAATATGTACAGGTATTACTATGTAGATATATAACTTTCCAATTGATCCACACTGACCAAATACACGGCCAATTCAACGACGTCAAATGGACGCTTCATAGACCTCTTAATACAGGTTATTTTTTCTGAATTGGTCATATTGAGTTTTACATGGTAACTTTTGAACCCCTTGGTTCATGTCATGGTCGAATAAACGTCCACTACCTACGTGACGACCCAAACAAGTCATATTCTGCAACCTTTTTCCAACGTCGAATTTTGGTTAATCGACGTAAATCCATTTAAAATCGACGTCATAACGACTAACCTTTGCTGCTTGGGATGTCTATTGGAATAGGAAAAAAGACCTGCTGGAAAACATCCTCCAGCATTTTAAACGTTTGAATGGATTTGGATTAGACGACTTTTTCGCAGATCTGTTTTTGATTTGAAATTGTATTCTCTAGCATCCAATATTGATGTTCTCTATCTTAGGCCAAGTTTATTTATCTTGAGATAAACTTGCTGGTAACTATCTGCAAGATATATTTACAGATCTATAATCCTGTTGGTCACTGGATAATTGGTTGACCAATGGGATTAAATGTTGCGTTTTATCCGTCAGATTGTATTACCTGACAGCTTGCCTGACAGTTTATTAGAGAGTGAATAAACCGGCTCTTATATCTATTAGCTCTTGAAGAGTCGAGAATAGACAAAAATTGTCACCCTGTATGTTCGATGTGGCCTGAATGGAAACATCACTGTCAAGTAGTTATGCTCGACGTGCCATACAATATGTGTTTAATTGTATTTAATAAAAGTTACCTATCGATAAAAATTGAAAGATCTTCTGAAAGTTTCATTATTTAACTAATTTTTATTTTATTTTAGATGTTTAGTAGAAAAGAACAACTCATCCAGAAAACAGGCGAGGATGGTGTGGGTCGCTATGAATTTTTAAAACAGCTTATTAACGAATTTACCACCACCAAGGCATATGGTAGGTTTGAGGGATTTTTTCGGACTACTGACTTTAAATTATTCAAGATTTTTGAAAAAATCTTAAGTTTTCAACACACTATATTGAAGCTTTGGTAAAAACACTTGCTTGTTTGGGATATTTTCATCCAAATAATAATACATTGCCCTAATTCTGATTTCAAGCTAAGTATGTTCATTTTTTCTTGACAAAGGTTTTTGATCTTTAATAAATCGTCCAGCCTAAATCGATTGGCACACAGAATCATTATTGTTTCATGTTTCACCTATTTATTTTTTAGACTCAAAGAAGCAAACTCTAGCAAACTTAGCCAATTTTGCATATGATCCTATTAATTATGAATTCATAAAGCAGCTCCATATAATAGATTTATTTCTGGCGCAATTATCTGAAAATGCAGATGATCTGATACATTTTGCATTAGCTGGACTTTGTAATATCTGCTGCGGTAAGAAACTACAATTATTTTAAGTCACCCTGATTTCTAATGATTTCATTTCAGATCCTGAAAGTCGTGAGCATATCATAGGACTCAACGGAATTTATTTAGTATCTCAATATTTGGACCATACTAATGAAGAAATAGCCTTAAATGCCCTCACCACACTATTTTACCTTCTAGAGTCTGAATCTGCAACCTTACCAGAACACTTTCAATCTAAACTTATTAAATACGAAAACCACAAGAACGTTAGATTTCAGAATCTTGCAAAAATAATTCTTGAAACTTACTTTAACAAAAATAACAAACATGAGTAAGAATTTATTAATTCGAAAAATTCATTCACTGAAAACCTTTACCATTGGCGAACTAGCTTCTCTAAAAAAGAAGATAACTGCAAAAGATATTGAAACATTCAAAGAACTAAGCGGCGATACGAACCCCGTACATTCATCCATCGACGGACAGAGAGCGCTAGTGCACGGGGCGTACTTAAATTCCTTAGTTTCATGCGTGATGGGTACTAAACTTCCTGGTCCAGGAACCTTGGTCGTAAAGCAGACTTTGAACTTTCCGAACAAATGTTACGTGGACGATATTGTTACCGTGACTGTTCGAATTCTTGACGTCCGTAAAATTGTTAAGGTAGCGTTCATATGTGAGGTTGAAGCGGAAAATAAGACTGTACTATTCGGCGATGCTCAATTAGTTTTGGATAAGGGGAATCGGACAGGACAGAATTGAAATTAGTTTTAAGAATAATAATATTAGAAAGCGATGTTTTGAACTTTTGAAGTACCTATGTAAAGACATTTTATAAAGGCTATAGTGTCTCTAAGAAAAGGAAAATCTGCTTGGGTTTGAGCAGATGGCAGATGGCATCGAGGAAAATGTGATAATAGGCGCTTGAAATAAGTATAGCATATAAGGGGTATAATAAAATCTCAGTTGGAAGGTCGCAATTTACATCTGTCTCTGGTTTCAGTTTTTCACTATTATCATTGTATACTATTATGTACCTATTACTTGTAAAAAAATGCTTTCTGTAAAGTGTAAGAATAGAGGTGTTTTCTCGGGTCTCAAATGTTTTAAAATGTTTCAACTGGATTAAAACATTGTCACATGACGTCATAACTTCTCGGCAAGGGAAACTGGTCTCAAAACATAGATTAGATTGTATTTCGAAACGGTTTGAACCAATTTTGATGTACGTCATGGGTTGATCGCGATAATATACTGTTTCAAACCTGTTTTGAACCAGTTCCAAAAAAGTTAACGCGAGAAAACAGCTCTTGTCTTTCAAAATAATCAGTAAAGTTTTGTGATGGAAATTTTTTTGTTTTTGATTCCAGTTTTATCAGGATGCAAGATTTTCGACCGTTCAGGATGTCTATTCTCGAAGCGGAGGAACAGCGTTCTCACGAGAACGATTGCTCTGTCTTTGTCAGTGAAATATAAACATGGGTGACTAGTACAGAACCTTCGTTCTCATGGGAATGCTGCTCGCCTGTTTCGAGAATAAGGGCCCAGAAGTCATATTTGAAATGAAATGGAATTTATAGATTATATTGAAATGTAATCCGTGGCTACTTTATTGTTGGACTGAAGGCGAAATATTTTCTCAAGCTCAGTAAGATACTCTGGCTTCATAGGATTTAGGAGAAGATCTGGCAAAAACGAATATGTTTATATAATAACACAGACACAGGTTAAAAAAGTTTTAGGTACCTACACGACCAAGTGTCTGTCGTAGTCGAGACGTTTTATTAAAGTTACTGAGAACGTCTAATAGTTATTTTATGGAACATAGCTGCTAGTTTCTAATTTGTAAAAGGAAGTTAAAATTAATATGTAGTATCAGTATTATGTTCTTCTTTGTCAACAGAGGCCGCATGACTTCCGCTGTTACCAATCTTACAAATGAATTAATTAAATGAATCTTGCGATTAAATAAATCGTGATATCAATACTACCTTTCTTCCAAGGTACTTTCAAGATACCAAAATCACTCCTAAAAAAATTGTCGAATAGATGTCGAAAAGGGTGAGTCGCTCTTCGATATTCACAGTTTCTAGAGGTCAATAATAAAGGAAAGATCCTTGAGAATATCCAAAATAGATGCAAACTGTCAATCAAAACATGTCTTTGAGAGCGACTCTTCAAAAAAGCGGTAGACGAACTCATGAACAGAAATCTTTCGTAACACAATCAAACAGCTTGAATTTTCCTGCTCATTCAATTCGAAGGAAATGTGATTTTCTAAAAACCGAAAGATGCATGAACATATTTGGACCTCATACTTGCCTTGATCAATCTTTTTTGAGAGTGCAGGGATAAATGAAAAAAACTCTTAGTTGAAGACTCATAAACTACGAAAAAGCGAGAATGTGCCTGTTCGGGCGGAGAAAATAACCCCTTGGACAACTCTTCTCAATTCTGACTTCCCGTAAAACAGTGGGAGCAAAAAAAGACATGCTCACAGTCGCAGGTTATATGTGATAGCGAGTGAATCAGAAACTGGACTTATACTACCCGTTACCACTTCGTAGTAAGTATAATTATTATTATTCGCTCATTTGCATCATCACGAAAACTGCATGGTCTGCATGAAGCAAGTGAAAACTTCCGTAAATATGCTTAACTTTATTTTAAATTGTCATTATTGCCACTTGAGAAGTTCAAAATTCGACTTCACAGTTTATGAATAATTGAATTGAAAACAGAATTTAATACACTTGTTGCTATCTAATGCCCCCTTGACAAGTTTCACGGACGGAGAAGCAACTTTATCTTTATTCAGTACCCGTAACATATCGAAATCCCTGAAGCGTTTGTAGGCCTTTATAAAAGAAATCGCCCCATCCCTTCACGGTTGGTAGATAAGACCGTCTAGACTAGGACATGAACCCTAGCCTAGCGATAGAAATAATAATGTCATTTAATTTCGAATAGGTATATTTTTATGGTAAAATTATTATAAAATTGCATTTTTTTTTAGATAGATGTAAAAAAATCACAGTTAATTTCAGTATTGAATATCACCAAGAACAGTTACACGATTGTCCTATTTGGGTTTTTCTGCATTATGCAAAAATCTAAACAAAACGCTTCACTGCAAAAAGTAATTTGAATTTGGTTTTACATCACTGGGCACAGAGGCCATGGCCAAAAAACAATAACAATATTTCAATGAACGTTTATTGGCAGAGCATAATGGAGAAAGAAATATTTAGATCTAGAGAAACTTTGAGTCTTCGAATAAAATAATTTTTCATAGAGAATAATCGAGCAGAAATACCGAAACTTCATAATTTAATGTCAGAATAAGTATTCAAAGCCCCATCCCATTTTGTGACGGGCAACATATCATACGCACACATTCCGCCCCACACGCAACAGGTAAATTTGGGTAGGTACCAAGTCATTCTATTTAATCTCACGTTTTCATGTGAAATAATAAGGCATGCGGCAGGTTTCCATGTAGCTACTACCAAGTACCAAGCCCGTCACCAGACCCGCCCTTGTAACTTTCTACTGGTACTGCCGTGCCGCTGCGAACACCGCGACGGGGTTGCTCGCGGTTGTCGACCCGCAGTACTTGCGGTGCGTGTCACCCCGCTTGCTCTCAGGCTAGTACTCAAAGTACCCCCCCGGTGTTGCCGATGTTCGTTAAATCAATTTTTCACTTGTTTTGGTTGATTTTCTTATTGCTTTTCGATCAATTCATGTGGATAAAGATGTGGACGTCTTTAATTTTTACTGATTTATTGACAAACTAAAAAAGTACAAGTATTACTGCTACAACTAGTAGGTACCGTATATAGGGTTCCTTGTTAAAAATTAATTACTTCAACAGCCACAGCCACCCTCAATTTCCTTTAGGAAAATACATTTTCTAGAAAAAAAAATGTTTCAATGTCTAAAATCATATAACTTAGACTATTAATTATGATATGCGTCTTTTGATAAACCTGTATCATAGTCGTCAAACAGCTGTAGTCGGACTAGATGATAGCGTTACAGAAGAAATACCAATAAAAAGCAGCGTAAGACGATGTGTTCTGTCACCCCTGTTGTTCAACCTCTATTCAGAGAACATTTCGTGAGGCTTTACATGACAGGGCAGAGGGAGTAAAGATAGGAGGCCAAATAAGAAACAACGTGAGATACGTAAATGACACTGCCATCATTCCGGAGAACATGGAAGACTTGCAAATACTGCTGGATAGAGTATACAGGAGGCAAATCAAAGATGTGGTATTATTATAAATATCAAGAAAACGAAAATGGATGACCGTAGGTGGAATAAACATCGAACCAACTCCGATTACAATCAACGGACACATTGAATAGTTCCAAATTTCAAATACTTGAGCAGCTGGCTAAAAAGTGAAGCTACGTGCGACGAAAAAGTAAAAGCGAGGATTGAAATGGCACGTTGGGCATTTAATAAATGGAAACCAACTGCCACCAATAGAAACCCCACAGTCCAGACGTGGTTAAGAACACTCAGCTGTTACGTATGGAGCATTCTCTTGTACGGATGTGAGACGCTTAAAGCTGACACCATGAACAAAATAGAAGCGCTTAAATGTGGTTCTATTGGAGAATCTTCAAATTCCCTTGGACCGCGCATACCAGCAATGAAGAGGTATAAGACAGCTGAATAAGAACCGAGAACACTATAAAAATAAGAAGGGTTAGTTATTTTGGACATATAATGCCAGGCACCAAATATCACATCCCTCGTCTGATTATCTAGGGAAAGGTTGAGGGCAGAAGATGGATAAGTTGCAAAAAACTGTCATGGCTCCGAAACATTAAAAATTGGACCGGACTGGGAGTGAAACAACTATTCCGAGTAGCGACAGATAGAGAGCAAATTTCTTTACTTATTGCTCCTACCCATTATTTTGTTTCTTCGTAACTTGAAAGTAGGTAAATTGTTTCTCTTTTACATCTATCGATTTTGTTCTTCACTTATTGCTTCAATTTGATCTGATGTAGGCATTAGCTCCAATTTTTTTCTTTAAATATTCTCCTCATCAAATGTAACATCTCTTGATGCAACTATTTTTTTTTTCGATGTATGCCTCTTAAATTATTTACGGTTATTAAAATATAAGCATCGTCCAGCATTCCCATTGGTTTAGCTTTTTCTTCCATTCTGTATCTGAAAACTCTCAGATTCGACCTTATCCATATTATTATGAGACCTACTTGGTGTCCTTGGTGATCTATTCACCTGCTAGGCTGCTGATTGCTTTACTTCAAGATCTGTTCAATAAAAATCGTATAAATCGTTCAGCAATACCATTTTGTGGTTGAAGTTGAGGCATTTTGTTACAATGAAATTCTCTAAATTCTCTTGACGTATTTTTTCTACCATTATCGTATTGTCCTATGTTGCAGTTGACCTCTGATCTATCTGTTAGTATAATAACTGATCAAAGGACCCCGCACAAACCTTATGAAAGAGTGATCCATGTGGGAATTCCCTGATTTTTTTATATTGTTCAGAGGAAGTCTTCCTGATTGAAATTTACTATTGCGCTAGAGTCCAATGATTAACGGTTTCGGATATTATGCATAGTGCAATGATACCGGATAACTAAAATAGTTGGTTCGAACTTTACACCTAGAGTACCAATAAGGCCCAAATTCACTGAACGGGCCGCCAATATATTATGCCTGAGATCCTCCAGCTCGCTCAACACCGAATTCTGCCAGACCTTCATGTGCTTATTTACTGATAGTCAGTGCCACGAAAGTTGAAATATCTTCCAACAAGAAAAGACGCGTGTGTTATGTGTTATACATAGTATTAAGTAAGGTAGGGTTGATTATTAACGCTTAATTGATGTTTGTGTCATGATTGTTAGTGACAGTACAGAATTTCCTGTTATCATAGAATGTGGTCGATTGACTAGAAAGCAATATAAAAGCCTTTGTTAAAACTACCATCGTGTTTATTTTGGATATAAATAATACATGGTGTCAGGCTATATGATTTGGCTAATGTTCTAGTGCTAGGAATAGCGGGAAAATCAATGTGAAAAGTTGATCGGATTTGTGAACCATGGAGGCAATGTTCAAGCCACCGGAGCCCCTCAGTTTGGAGAGCAATGTATCGGAAAACTGGGACAGGTTTATCTAACGGTTTGAGCTATTTAGCGTAGCGACAGATTTGCAATCCAAGGAAGAAGCCAGGCAAATAGCAGTACTCTTACATTGTATTGGAGAAGATGGTTTGGATGTATATAATACGCTTACGTTTAGTGCCTCAGAAAAGAAGTCCTTAAAGTCCGTTAAGGAAAAATTGGGAGCCCATTTTGCGCCTCAAGAAAATGTGATCTATGAAAGATTTTTGTTCAATTCAATCAAGCAAAAGGAAGGCCAAAAGTGAAGTCAACAGAATACAATGACAAGGATGATATGGTGAGAGACCGCATAGTCTTTGGAATAAGGGACAAAAGTACCCAAGAGAGGCTTTTGAGAAAGGCAGATTTGAAGCTGGATTCGGCTATAGCCTTATGCAGAGGCGTAGAAGCGAGCCAAAAGCAAGTCAAAGAAATGCAAGAGGAGACATCAGTGAGTGCCCTAAGAAGTAAGCATGGAAAAGAAATTAAAAAGTGTAGCTATTGTGGATTTTCTCACAAAAAAAGGCAAGTGCCCGGCTTATGGCAAAGTTTGCAGCGAATGTGGAAGAGAAAATCATTTTACCAGTGTCTGCATGAAGAAAGACAAGGCAAAATCGAGAACAAAAACTGAAGAGAAATTAAGGAATGAAAAATACAAAAATAGGCGAGTTCACACAGTGAAAAAAGAGGAAAGTGGAGAGAGCTCTAGTGGAAGCAGTGAGTCTGAAGAACAGTTTTTTTGTGAGCTCTGTGGTAAAACATGTCAATGGAGTCCAGGAGAATGATGAGGTCATGTGGACCGAAGAGGTCAATGTTGCAGGTATGAAGGTAAATTTCAAATTAGATTCCGGAGCAGAGGTGAGTGTTA